GGCTCCCCACACTAGAGCATTACAGATGCATGCTACCCTTCGTCCCCCTCTTTGGGAAGGTGGAGAGGAGACCTCAAACACATCAGGCATCACAACAGGGTTTGAGCAGTCCTCTGCTAAACAATAAAAATAATTTTTTTAAAAAACAAACTTCAAATGGGTCTCGGGATGAGAGTGGCCAAAGAGCCCGGGATGCGTGAGAACCCTGTCCCAGACAAACATTACTGGCACCCTCCTGGGAGCAGCTAACCTCTGTGAGCTAACGGTTTGGGGAGCACTCCCTGAGCCCCAGGAGGAGCGTGTGGCCTCAGGGAGGAGGGAGAAGAGCCTCGGGAATTGTGTGTGGCTGGTATCGCTCCCAGCAGCTCAGGTCCCCAGGCATAGAGCGGGGCTTGGAGCCACAGAAATGGAGCTGGGCTCGGAGGAGGAAAAAGCAACCGAAAATAGCACACAGAGCACAGGGGCTGGAGGAGGGCTCTCAGCCATGGGGACACGGCCATGCCGCCCACCAAAGGCAGGACTTCACAGAGGAGTTATGGGGAGGCTGAATGTGGAGGCTTCAAATGAGAGGTCAAGAGCTGGGCAGAGTGAGGTATGGCATGTGGAGGTTCCACACCCCCCCACACACACACATCCAGGCCTGCGCTTCCACCGGCTGCTTTGCAGCCTAACTCTATCACACACAGCAGGAGATCAGCATCCATTTTCTTGGGGAACAAAGGAAAACAAAAAGCAATGGAAAGTGGAAAGAAGACTGGCGTTGAGGGTCAAAAATATCAGGGTGCAAAAGCATTGGGCTAGGTGGCCTTTGGTAAGTGACCTCAAATTCTCTGGCACTTCAGTTGACTCTCTATAAAATAGTCTCTGAGCTGCTGAGAAACGCAGACACTGTCCCTGGGTTGTTTGTCCCTAGATCTTCCTAAACCTACAGCTGTTAGCCCAGGGCAGGGAAGGAGGCTGCCCCCCCCCCCCGGGGCGGGGGGTGGTGAGAGGGAGAGGCGCAGGGAACTTGATCCTCTCACATTCCTCTTTCCCTCCAGAGAAGAGCTTGAGCCCTGTGTGAGGGTCAGAGGAGGAATCCCAGAGGTCAGGTGGCTTCCTGGCTGTACTCCCAACAGAATGTGCTGGAAATTCCTCACACCCCAGGCAACCCCCTCTCCAACATCCCTTCAGAGAAGCTAGAGAATCAAACGGAATCTTTTTCTGTTCACATGGAGCCTGTGGGTGTGCTCAGGTGGGGTATGCCTGGGTCATACCTAGGGGGAATGAGCAGGGCAGCTAGACCCGGGGTTAACCCTTCAATGCCAACCAGCATGGCTGGGCCCAAGAGGACGTCCAGGGAGGGAAGGTTGGCCCCACAAACCTCCCCCTGTGGCTCCATCCCCAGGGAGGGGACTGGCACCTAGTCAGGGAGCCCAGTGGAAATCAGGCATCTGCTTGGAGAGGCCCCGGCCAGCCACCTGCCTGTGACCTTTGGCCTTTCTCGGGGGCAGTGGGGGAGCATGAGGGGGGGTGTCCAGAACCCTGAGTTCCTGGGACACTGGGACTCACCCTGCTGTCTGGGCTTTAGAAAAACCCTAACTGCAAAGGTTCAGGTAATGTTTGGCCAATAGCCAAGTAAGGAGGGGGTGGCGAGACTAGGCAATTTAGGAGACCCCCTATTGGTCAGAGCTCCACTGCCTTTAAGACAGGCAGAGAGGCCCAGCAATGACTCCACAGATGAGGAAATTGAGGCCCAGGAAGAAAAGTGGCCTCCCAAGACTTTACAGGAATACATCATCTTTAGTGGCAGACTGGGGCCTCCAACCCCCATCCGTGGCCCCTGATTATCAATGCAGTGCTCTCCACTCCCAGCCCTAGTCCTGGCCTTCTATTCCCACAGCCCCTCCTCTGAACACGGCTCCCTCCGGGAGGGCCTGTGGACTTCACCCAGCCTGGCATTCACTCCAAGGGGACACTGGAAGATGCCAGGGAAGATACTAGGACCCCCCTAGGTGCCCCCTGCATGCTCTACCCTTCCTCAGAGCCTTGCTGGAGTCTTACCTCTGATCAGGGCGGCCCACAAGTCCTGGATAATGGCTGGGCTCCGGCAAGGACTGACAGGGGCAGGAGATGAGGATGGCTTTAAGCAGGCATGTGGGCCGGAGCCTGAGAGCCAAGCCCTGTGGTGGGAGGAATGTGCAGCCCCAGACTGCGGGGCGGGGGGGTGCGGGGGGGGCAGGGAGGGGACACAATGGGGGGTGTTGGCTGCTATTTTGGCAGGTGCCAGGCACAGGGCTAAAGGGACATGTACCCCACGCCATATAAGCCCATGTGGTCCTCCAGCTGCTCAGATAAGCTATTTAAAACCGGAGCAGATACGCAGAGAACAGGCTTGTGACATAACCCAGCTGTCCCTCTTGAGAATCCTGATAAAGTAGATGGCAGCAATCCAAGCCAGAGCAGGACTGGGGGAGGGGAGTGGGCGGGGGGGGGGAGAAACAGATGAGTTAGGAGGGATGTGGTAAAGAGCTTCATTGTAGCTGATATGAGCCATGTGTTCTTCCAGACAGGTGGTTGCTCCTAATGGGCCGAACAGCCTTAGGCAGAGTGAGTTTTCTCCACGACTGACCGTGGAGGCCATGTACGAGGCTCTCCTCCCGAGGAATAGACTTAAACCACCAGAGGAGGTTAGATACCAGTGAGAAGAGCCATTCCCTTTGGATGGATAGCCAAGCTATAAATGCATGGCTAACGATTAGGACCTGCTAACTCACTGGATCATAGAGCCGTCGGGGTAAGGCCAGGGCTTTTGTTTTTAGCTCTGATGCATGATAGCCATGACCCTGGCGACGGTGACTGGAACATCACAGAGCTTGGCGTATGATGAAATGGAGAAAGGAGGACACCAAGGCCGCTAACAGCTGAGCTGCCTCTCCCCAGCTTTCTCCCTCCATCTCCCTCCATCTCCCTGGCTCAGATGGCACCTGACTTTGAAGAAGGACAAGATGCACCTCCTCCTCCCATCCCCAGGCCCTGAAACCCTGGGGGGCCTGGTCTCACCAGATCTTGCTCATTCGAGAAAAGCGATCCACTCTTCTTTCATGGACAAAGGAAGCCATCTTTGCCCGTTCTCTACCCTGCTCCCCTCCCCTCCCACCTTCCTGGGGGGGGGGCTCGCTTTCCCTCAGTCCTGCTGCTCTGCTCACACGCTCTCGCCCCTCACTCGGCTGGCACTGTCCTCTGTGATTCCAAGCAGCCTCCTCCGAGCCCAGTGGCCTCTATCCCCGGACTCACCGGAGCCTCCTCACTGCCAGGAAATGAGTAGCAGTGGATGCTGAAGCCAGGCCCCAGTGGCCAGCCACCAGGAAGAGGGCTACAAGGAAGCAGAGGGAGTTGAGAAAGTCGGATGGAGGGAGCAGAAGGGCTGACGAGGAAGAGGCCAGGCTGGAGGGAGAGAAAGCAGAGCAGCCTCATCTCTGTCTCCCATTCCAGCCCATCAGGATCTGCTTTGCCTTGTGCCCTGGCCTGGAATGTCCCAGACAATTAGGAATGACTTTTCCTAGTTTCAGGGTCACTATTTCTCCTTCAGAAAGCCATGTTCTTTTTCCTAGATGCCTAAAAGAGGAATGTGGGTATCTCCCCAAGATCCCCCAGGTTCTTTGTGTCTACAGACCATAGGCATGAACTTCTGACTGGGTCTCCTAAGAGAGCTCCATCCAGAGAGCCCTTAGGTGGCCGCTCCATCATACACAAAAGCTAGTGACTGGCCGGGTTGCTCTCACCCACCACCCAGTCCCCAGCTGCTGCTCTTTGTCACCAGCTGCAGTCTTGTGTGTGATGTGTCTCCTAATTCATCCGTTTGCCCGACAGGAGCATGAATGCAAAGGCAGAGCTGAGTCCAGAGTTCCCCTCAGCAAAGCAGCCTGTCCTCAGTGTGCACCCCACAAATGCCACCACATTGAGGCAACAGCCCTTCCACTGCCCGGGGAGAGCTTTTGGGAGCCTCCGTTCCTAAGAAAAGTCTGACACCATCGTTTTGATGGCTGGCCAAGTTCCACTGCCAGACACTTCACAAAGCTCAGAGCCCAGAGCACTCTGCGCTCTTGAAGGTCACTTGCTTGAACCCTGAAGGTCAGAGAAAGGAAATGTCGCAGGCTTATATCTAAGTCCCCAGCAGACTTGGGGACCGGCACCGGGGTCTCCTGAGTCTCCAGGTGGCACAGAGCACCCCTCTATCCTGCCCAGCTTCCAATCAACCTGCAACCATAGCACTGGGCTTTTGCCAAAGCTGCAACCCGAGAAGAGGGGCCAGGCAGCCCCAGGGCCCACTCCGCTGACTCAGGCCGGTAGGAGGCAGTTTATGGGGGCTCATTGGCAGATGTGGGACAGCACAGGGCACTGGGAGGCTGACACACATGGGACCCAAAAGAGGAGCCTTCACCTGGGATTGTCAAGCCTGGGTCAAGCATGGGGAACTGGAGCGTGTTGCTGCCCTTATGAGCCCTGTTCCAAGAAGCTCTGGAGCTTCTACAGCTGGGCAAGCGGGGCGCAGACAGAGTCCTTACCTGCTCCCACCCACTGTTGGTTCTGGATGAAATCTGAGCAGTCACCTGGGAGTAAGAGCTCTAACTATGAAAGAAGGTATTTTTCCCGTTACATCCTGGAAACATCTGGAAGATACTAGAAGACCTTGCTCAGTCTGGTCATCCCTGTATTTCAGATGGTTCGGTATCCCCCAAGCCCACATGGGCCATGGGGTTGAGGAAATGAGCTGGGGAGAGGCTGAAGGGAAGACGGCATGCCCCGGTACACGGCGATTCTAGCCTCCCGAGTCACCATGCACTGAGTATAAAACCCTGGCACCTTAACATTTGGGGGTGGGGGGGTAGAAAATGATCCTTGTCCCACCCCAGCCAAAACCACCCTCCTCCCTCTCTGCAGCTGGTTCCCTTGGAAAGCAAAACCCCTAGGAAGGAATTCACTTCACTTGAAAGAATCGTCATCATTTGTGCCTGAGAAAATGAATTTTTAACAGATTCTTCCTGAGAACAGGGTTTTCTGAGCAAGGGGAGGGAGGCTAAGTGACTCCATAAAAAGCCACCGAGCTCCTGGACGGACAACGCAGCAGGCCAGGGAAGGGAAGGGACACAAAGCAGGAAGACGGAGCAATGGACCAGGCCTGGCAATTCCTTCCCAATGTGGTCGGAGGGCCTTGGCAGGCTGGAACCAGGTCCCAAGGTCCAGGTCTTGGTAAGGCGACATCATGAGCACACAGAGTACCAGCCAAGAGCAGATGAGACAGATGACCTTGGGAGTCCTTGAGAGATGGTCCCACCCTGACCCGGAAGGAGTCATCTTTGAGGAAGCCACCAAGACTCCCTCCAGCGACCTAGTGCCAGATCCTGGCTGCCAGTGGGACCAGGACTTGCTGTGCTTTCCACAGGACAGGAAAGTGCCAAGGCTGGGAAGGAGGTGGGCGAAAGAGGAGGCTGAGTTGTCACTCATGTTCCTGGTTCTCAGGAGCCACAGCCAGAGGTCCAGAGGCAAATAGGACTGGAGGCAGTGAGAGACGAGGGTGCTGCTTCGAAGGCAGGGGCCCAGCATCCCAGAGAGGGCCTGGACGAGAGGGGGCCGGGGTAAGAGAGGGCCGGGACGTTCTGTCTTGCAGGCTTGTCACACCTGTTGAGGTCAATTAGAACAAATGAAGTGGGTTCCTAGGCTGGAAGGAAAAGGGAATCTTTGAGCAGGAAGCATCCCTTTGCCCAAGCCTTATACCCACAGTGCGTGGGAGAACCAAATCTGCTGGTTTAAGAGAGGTGCTATGAACCAGGCACCAGTGGCTCATACCTGTCATCCTAACTACTCAGGAGGCTGGGGTCTGAGGATCATGGTTCAAAGACAGCCCAAGCAGAAAAGTCTGAGAGACTCTTATCTCCAATAAACTACTCAGAAAAAGTCAGAAGCGGTAGAGCACTAGCCTTGAGCATGAAGAGTCTCAGGGACAGCGCCCAGGCCCTGAGTTTAAGCCCCAGGACCAGAAAAAAAAATTTTTAGATAGGGGTGCGATGTCTCAACAAAGCCAGCAGGCTATCCATATGCCCATGAGAGAATCATCACAGTCAAACATGCAGGGACTGGGGGATTCTGGGAACCTAGACTATACAATGGCAGGCCAGTAAGTGTATAGACACAAGTGACTATTTAGTGGGGCAGGTCTCTCAGTGTGCCCCATAATCCTGGGCCCACACCTTACTCACCTCAGCATCCAAGGAAGAATCCGATTTCTTCCCCCACTGAGTCCTCTTGGTAGCTGCCAGTTCTTTCCGTACCTCCTGAAGTGGGGGCATTATGAGGGAGATCAGAAATGCTAAGGAGAAGTTTGAACTCCCAGGCTCACCCCTGCTCAGAGTGCCCTCCCTCTTCCTGGAGGGTAAAAGGACCCCGGGCCTCTTCTCTGCTACAGGCAATCTGTGGCCACCTTTCCTCTCCACCATCCCCACTTCTGAAACGACCCCCCACTTGAGGGTTGTCCCTCCTGACCGCATCATCGCACCACCATGGGGACAGGGTACCTGGGGGTCCTGCTCTCCAGACTCCTGGGTCCTGCTGATCCACAGGTTGAGCCTTGATGTCACCACCCCAGACAGCCTCAAGTTCTCCTAGAAAGAAAGGCGCCATCTCAGGGTTTGGGAAGAGGAAGGCTTTCTCCAAGGCCCCCGGCACGGGAACAGAACCCCTTTCTCCCCTCCCCCAGCGCAGGCCATGCGCCCTCGACAGGGAGCAATGCGCCCAGCTAGAAGGAGCCGGGCTCAGGGACACCAATGCTAAGGCCACGCTCTGCCAATGCTTATGTGTGAAAATAGTTTCTAGCACTGCCCAGGCTGAGGCTCACATTCTGGATACGTCAGAACTCATCCGCTTAGAGAGCCCCAGGTGGGCTTTGCCCCTCACCTTCCGGCTGGAGGCTGGCTCTACCCGGCTCTGGCCCCCTGCCAACTCCTTCTCAAAGATGTGGCGCTTGCTGGCTACTCCTGCAGGAGTCACAAAGACCTCGGCGCGGGAGGAGCCCGATGACCTGACGGACTCTGATCGCTGGAAACAGAAACGCCAACTGCTGAGCCGGGAGCATGAGGTCCCTGGGTCATACCAGCCCCTGAGGCAAGGGACCCCGCCCCTCCGGAAGAGCCCCCACCTGTATGGCCGTGTGGTATCGCTCCAGCTTCTCGCCTAGCTTAACTGTGCTGGCTGGTAGCCTCACACTGGCACTGCGGGATGGGAAGACAGGAGGAGACAAACTGGATGAGACACTGCCCCTCTGGGAGCTAAGGCCCGGCAGCCAGACCCACCAACTCAGCAAAGAGAACATGCCCACCACCGCATCACAGACCCCATCTTAACCAATGAAAGTTAGGCCTGGTGTTGCATACCTGCTCTCACAACTATACAGGAAGTGTAAATATGAGGATCACAGTCAAAGACAAAGATGTAAGCCCCTACCTAAAATATAACTAAAGCAAAAAGAGCTGGGGGTATGGCTCAAGTGGTAGAGCACCCACCTAGCAAGCACAAGGCCCTGAGTGTGAGCCCCATACCACCAAACAAAAAAGAGAGATCAGACAAGACAGTGCCAAAAGTTCTAGGCCTCCCACCTGCGAGTTAAGGTTGCTTCCGAGTTGTCTTTTCTAGGGCTCATCTGAAATGAGAAGCAGGGTGTTGGTGAGTTAGGAGTTCCAGGAAATTCCATAGCTCCTCTCCATGAGGGGCACAGTTCTCAGTATGTTTTCTCCCCCTTCACAACTTCCCGCTACTATCACCAAAGAAATCAGCCTTCATTAGCGGCCCTCATCTCCTCAGGAAAGCCTTTGCCTCCACATTCCAGTCTGGGTCCCAAGGCCTTTCCTAGGCCCCCACCAAACTTGCTAGGGAACCTGTTACCACTTGAATTACTTTCTCCCTGCTTCCCCACTGACCAAAAACCCATGGGCACTAGCCAGCCTCAGGCCTCAGCTCCTCCCCAGGCCCTGGCACATATTAGTACAAGTCAGAGTCAAGTGATGAATGAGTAGGTGATCCAAAGGCTGGATGAGCTCCCTATGCTCCTCAATTATACTATGGGGCAGGGCCAGGCAGAGGGCACTAGGACCACCCTGCTGCTCTCCACCTTACTGGTGCCTACTGGGTTGAGGAGAGGGACTCATAAAGGCAGGCTGATTCTAGCTCCCACAGCCTAGCCAAATGGGGGCATATTCCTGCAGTTCTGATTGCTTCCACTAGGTGGGGCTGCTCATATGTATTCTCGCCCACCTTCTAAGTCATTGACCTACTCTGTTTTATTGAGTAAGACCGGGCCTGGTTTGGGCCACCCATGGGAATGAAAAGCCCCTCTCTATATAAAGGATCTGTCTTTAGAATAACCCAAGGCTCCTAACGCTTAATGGTGGCTGTATTCCTGGGCCTGCTCTCCAGTGACTTGGAGACAAGGAAGGGATCCCTGGTTCTCACCCGAAAAGAGATGGTCCTGGGGCTAGAGCGCTTGAGGGAGCTGCTGTAGGTGATCTGGGTGGGTGAAGATGTGTCTGCCTCATCCTCCTTGCTGGGGATTTTCACCTGAATGGAGCAGGGGATGTGTCACACAAGAACTGACCTTCCTGGAGAACAGTCTAGTGACCGCCCAGGCCCAAGCAGCCCCCTGGCCCAAGCTGCCATGTGGCCTGGCCTTCCCAAGCAAGCACTGAAGAAAGTGGGGGACAAGGAAACAGCCCTGCGTCACTCTCCTGTGTCTGCTATGGGGCAGCTGGCCTAGTCCCACGGGGCCAGCCGGAGCTTTGTAGGAAAGTTTCTGGAAGGATCCGAGGCCTTCCACAAGGCTGCTATGGTCCTGGAGTCCAGGTCCCAGTTGGGGATACAGTATGGGTGGACCTACTCCTTTCAGCTCCAAAACCCTGCCTCGGTCTCGGACACCCTATTCTGACAATGGCTGGGGACAGCAGACAGAAGAAACCACCAAGGCCAGCCTGAGAGAACAGGACATAGCAAGGGAACAGGAGGCCACCGGACAGGGTGAGGCGGTGATCCCAGAGGCGGGGAAGGGGCAGGGACAGGAGCACGGCCAACCTGGAGTGTGATAGGTGGGAGGCGGGAAGCAGCAGTCGGAGGCTCTGGCTTTGCAGAGGAAGGAGGGCTCGGCCCAGGGAGAGCTCTTCCTCTGGGCTCCTTGGTGGTGGCCTGGCTTCTTGGGGGAGGCTGGGGCTGCTCTGTGATGACTGCCCTGTTTGGAGCTGCCTTTGTCTCTGAGACTGACCCCTTCTCAAAGATGGACGCCTTCTCAGACACTAGCCTCCTCTCTGGTGTCTTCTCGGAGATGCCCGCTCTTTCTTCAGGTGGCTTCTTCTCCAGGCTGGATCTTTTCTCTGATACTTCTATCTTCTGGGACACAGATGTCTTCCCGGAGATCAATGACTTCTCTGAGACACTTGTTTTTTCTGGAACCAACTTCTCCTGGCCACCTGTCTTTGCCAAGGCTGCCAACCCCTCATCCGGGGACCCTTTCTCCGCGGCCACCCCCTTCTTGGAAACACAGGCTTTCTCTGCGGCCAGTCTCGTGGCAGGCGATGCTGGCTTCTCTGGCACAGGGGATCTCTCAGAGACCGAACTCTTCTCCAGGAGCTCCTTCTTCCCTGCTTCTGGCTCCTGGCTTTCTGCACACTCCTCCTCCTCCCGGGCCCAAGGGCCCAGGCGCTCCCGGTTCAGTCTCCGGCGAGGCAAGGACTCCAAGTCCCTCTTGGGCACAAGGGGGCGCTGCTGTGGCTGCTCGGGGCCTGCGCTCTCCTGCCCCTCCTCTGCCTCGGGCCTCTCTTGGATGGGGGCCTGCGCAGCCTCCACAGCTTGCCGCCTCTGCCTCCGCTCCTGTCGCGTTCTGAGGATGGTCTGGATGTCCTCCACCTCTTCTTGGAAAGCTGGAGATGCTGGCTTGGGCACCTCTGCTTCCTCTACACTGGGCAGCCTGAGTTAGAAAACAGGGTGAGAGATTGAGTCAGAGGATTTCAGACATAACGGGGACCAGGGGTGTAACCGGGCCCCAAACCAATAAGCACAGGTCAAAGAAGCCAGGCCCTGGCCTTCTTCCCCTCCCCCTACCACCTAAAGAAGGCTCACGTTTCTCGGCTATATATACAAGGTATCGTTTGCCCAAGCACTCCATGCTTTTAAAAAGGATACAAATCCCTGTAAGGTCCAATCAGCTACATTCAGACATCATCAGCCAAAACTGATGGAACAACTTTTCTCCACATGCTTTGGCCCAAGGGGGTTGGGGGGGGGGTGTTGTCAGAAAAAGAGTAACACAGTCCAAGTCCCTAAGAGCTAAGATGGAGAGCAGAGTGTTCAAGATCTGTCTGAGGTCGCTGGCAGCTCCTTGTCAGGGGCTGGGTGGTGAACTTCAAGTATTCTGAAGTTCTGCCCCCACACTCTTGTCCTTTGCTTGGCAGACACAGGTTAGGGTCATCCCCAAACACATAACCTGGTCCCCCTTCTCTGGGAAGTGAAAGGGAACAAGACCAAATCAGGGAATGGCCCAGACCTACTGGGCTTGGTTTCCATCTGAAAAAGATTCTTGGCCAAGCCTGTAATGCTCACTACACAAGAGGCTGAGATCTGAGAATCGTGATTCAAAGCTGGCCCCAGCAGGAAAGTCCATGAGACTCTTATTTCTAATTAACTGCCCAAAATGTGTCAGTACAGAAGAGAAAAGGAGATTCTTTTCCTTTGACTACCCTGCTCCCTGTGTGAATTCAGTCAAGTTTACTTCCAGTGTGAGCCTCAGTTTTCAGATCTGCAAACTAGGCTTGTACAGAGACTGGTCAAATAAAGGGCACAGTCCTGCCACATTGCAGTACTCAGACAGTTCTGGGCCTTTCTCTTCCTTTTCCTCATGACCCAAAATCTAGATAGCACACTGCCACACCACCCACCGCCCATTCCTGCCCTCAGAAGCAGATAATTGCCAGGCACCAGTGGCTCACATCTGTAATCCTAGTAATCCTAGCTACTCCAGAGGCTGCGACTTGAGGATCCCGGTTTGAAGTCAGCCAGGGCAGGAAAGTCTGTGAGATTCTTACCTCCAAATAACTACCAAAAAGCTTACTTCCAATTCACCACCAAAAATGGAGTGGTAGAGTGCTAGCCTTGAACAAAAGAAGCTCAGAGACAATACCCAAACTGAGTTCAAGCCCCAGTACGTGTACACACACACACACACACACACAGAGTGAGGGCTGGGCTACAGAGCCAAGGCTGAGTTTAATGGAAAGAGTAGTTATAGACCCGGACAAAACTGGATGTTAGTGTCTAGTTATATGATCTCAGTGAGTCACCTAAGTACCCTTTGACCCAGTTTCTACAACTGTAAAAATAATACCTGTCTCTCAAGATTGCTATAAGGACTGAGTGAGACTGAGTGAGTGACGTCCATAAAATCTCCAGCCGAGCATGAGCTCACAAATGTCTCAACCAACAATCACACGGTCAGTGTGAGGAGAGCGGGAAGCCCAGCCGCGCTGGGAAACAGTGAGGCACTGATGATAACATCACACACCTGCGCCTCACTCACACGTGGCAAGCCAGCCGCTCTGCTCGTCACCTAGCGGGGGCCGGCTGCGTCCATCTCCGTCACCCAGGATGGGGAAATGATACCCAGGGCCCCTCCCCAGGCCGACTACCTCTCTGTAGCCCGCCGCTCTCCATTCTGGGTGAGCCCAGAAGATTCATCGTCCGTGGTAGAACTCAGGTTGCGGTGCCGCCGCCTGCGTTCCCGCTCCTGCTCCTCCTCATCTTCCAGAGTCCGCTGCCGGGCCAGGCTGGGGGAGAGGAGGTAAGAATCAACATGGCCTCCCTTCCACAGGCTGGGAGAAGACACACCGCCCTGTAGGTATGTGAGCAATGCTCCACCTCTACCATCTAAACTGAGAGGTGGTGTAAGTAAAATACACACTGGATTTCAAAGACCCAGGATGAAAACCAAGACATAAAGGCTTAGCTGAGCCGGACACCGGTGGCCCATGCCTGTAATCCTAGCTACTCGGGAGGCTGAGATCTGAGGATCTCGGTTCAAAGTCAGCCAGGGCAGGAAATTCCATCAGACTTTCATCTCTAATTAACCACCAAAAGGAAAAAAAATCTGAGAAGTAGAGCTGTGGCTCAGGTGGTAGAGCACTAGCCTTGAATAAAAAAAGCTCAGAGACAGTGCCCAGGCCTTGAGTTCAAGCCCCAGGACTTGCACCAAAGGCGGGGAAAATAATAAAAGAATTGTGTGGCTGAACTATGATTGTCTCCCATTCCAACTACTTGGGAGGCTGAAGCAGGAAGATCACATGAGCCCAGGAGGTCAAGGCCCACACAGGTGTCATACCAAGACCATTCTCAAATGGTAGATATTACGTGTGCAAATGACCTTTTGGATACATCGGGGCATAAGGTTTGGGGATCTTTTTGTTTGGGGCGGCACTGGGGTTTTAAACTTAGGGCTTTGCACTGGCTTGGCAGGCCCTCTACCATGTGAGCCCTTTTTCACATGTCTATTCTTTGAGATAAGCATCTTGTTTCTTAACCAGGGCTGAGCAGAAGAACCATGATCCTCCATTTACCCTTCCCACCATAGCTGGGATGACAGGTGCATACCGACCGCCACATCCAGCTTTTTCTATTGAAACTGGGTCTCCTGAACTGTACTGGCTTCAACCCGTGATCCTTTGGATCTCAGTGTCCTGAGTAGGTAGGATTACAATGACCTGTACCCAGTCAACTGAAGTCTTTGGTTAAAATTCTTTTTGCTTCTTTTACTTTTCATATTGACTACTAGAAAATAAATTATATTAGCGATATGGTTCATATTATATATGTATTATGTTCTACAAAAGCTAAATAGATCTGAGGTAAGTCAAGCTTTCTCCTGAACACATTGACATTCCAGTCAGATAACTTTATGCGTAGAAGCTATACTGGTTTGTCCCTATTCGATGTCAGCCACAACTCTCAGTTGTGACAACCAAAAACTGTTTTTTAACATTCTCCCAAATCCCCTGAGGGTCAAAATCACCCCCAGACAAGACCTATTGTGTTGGACTTCAGTCTGGGCTCCAGGTGAGGAGAGGCCCTCTCCCTCTGTGGGGTGGCGAGGAATGTGGAAAGGTAGGTATGGTCCTGCCTGAAGAAAAGCAGGTAAACTTGACAAATCCCTTTCTCTTTTCAGTCCTGAGATTCTTAGATCATATCCACTGATGGACAATAACAGAAGTATGTCCTCAGAGTGACTCAATTCCCCATAAAAATGCTTTGCCTTTGGTGGCAGGGGCGGAAGTTAAGACTTACAAACAAGACCAGTTATGCCTAGAGAAATCCAACACACACCTTCACCTAAAGGTGACTTCTCTCACTGTTAGAACTTTGGCTTGTCCAGAGGAGCATTTGATCCCTGCCACCCAGAGACCTTTCTTATACTCCTGGGGCCAGCCAGGCGCTCTCAAAGCCAGCCAACCAACCTCCTTGAATCCCTCATCTATCCAACCAGCCACCTGTCAATCCAAATACCCATCCATCCCGTTACCCACCAACGTCTCTCACCCTTATGCACCTGCACTGCCACGTGCACACTCACCTTCCCATCAGCCCATCTTCCCTTCCATCCCTCCACCCACCCTGCCATCAAACCAAGAGCAAATGAACGCTTGCAATTACAATGGGCTATGCTGACCGTGCAACTGACACGGTCACAAAACAATATAACAGGGTCTCTAACGATAACCTACAATCTGGTGGTCCAGAGGTAGGTCCAGCAACTCGGCCAAGCAAAACTCAGAAATGGCTCTGCAGAGGAACAATGATTCCTCTGGGGCAGATTACCAGGACCGGCTCACAGCAAACACTGAACCTGGAGCAGACCTCTGGGCAAACAGGACTTCAGTAGGGGTAATGGCGGTGGGAGACAAACTGGCAAAAATAAAATTAAAATTAAAATACAATAAAATGGGCTGGGCATCACCCCAAGAGGCCGGAGTCTGTGAACGGGGAGGGGGGGCCAGCAGGCTGAGAAGGTCAGCTAGAATGAGCCTTCCCCAGAACCTCTCTCCAATAACCTCAGTGATCTGGGACTCAAATCAGAAGACTCAAAAAAAAAAAACAGTCTCCATGTTCCCATCCAGAGCAGCTGCCCAACTCTTGCCTGTCTTCATTTAAAGCTTCTCTTCTCCTGAAGGGTATCACAGGGTAGCCATTCCTTGATTTAGGGAAGAGTTTGTTTTCTGAGAAAACAAAAATCATGGAAATGCACCCATTTTAAACACTGAATACACCTAAAAATGCAACTACAGGCCTCCTGGAGGAGAAATCCCTCACTGTCTTTGAAGGCAGGGACAGCAGTGTGGTTCTGGTCCCCCAGTCCTGGGACAAGTCATTTTTCCCTGTGTTGTTACCGATGCTCCTGCTGCTGTGGGTGGTAGAAGGGGGAGACTGTAGCTCAAGCTGGCCTCAAACTCTTAATCCTCCCTTCTAAACTTCCGAGTGCTGCAATTCCACCTGGTTATCACTTCCTTTTCTCTTCCTCAGTTTTTGTTACTAAAACGAGGCAGATGAAACACACAAGGACTCTGATTTTTTTTCCCCCTCACATTGTATCACATCAATAGAGACAATCTTCACTAATTTTTTGAGCATCTTGTGACCAGGCAGATAGTAGGAGCCAGAACACAGAAGACAAAGAGACCGCCAGGTCTCCCTGGAGCATGGTATGAAGGAGAGAGGAGGTAGTGAGCAAGGAAACTGCCCTGGAGAAAAGCACATCCACCAGGTGTCATGAGCGCAATGGGACAGGTGAGTGAGCTAGAGGAGGCCTCTCGGACACACCTGGCTCAAGAGAAAGAGAGAGGCAGTGGAGCCCGATGGTGGAGCCAGTGGTGAAGATGCTGAGGAGAGGGGTGCAGTACAGAGCCCGCGGGGAAGGGGGAGGGGAACTGGGTGTATAAGAGGGTAGCCATAAATAGGCCTTCAGGGGAGCTGGACAGAGATGCCAACTAACAAATGTTGGTCTCTTCCTCCCTGGGACTGACCACATCTCAAGACTTAAGTGCCCAGGCTGGCTTTGAACTGTGATCCTCAGATCTCAGCCTCTGAGTAGTTAGGATTATCGGTGCAGCGCAGCTATGCTTGATGATAATCCACACCTTTCTCTCACCTGGTGCAGATGGAGAAGGGCCCAGCCTGAGGCTTCCCCGACCTTGGCGATAAAACTCAGGCAATGAACTCAGGGCCTTCTGCTTAATAGACAGGAGCTCCACTGCGGAGCCCCACCTGTAGCACGGTACCACAGAGCGTAGAAGGATTTCCCTGGACCTCCACTGGATCCCTGTGAGCTCTTTAATATTTGTCAGTAGATCCTCCCTTCGTTACTCATTCATTCACTACTCACAAACTGATGGTCTCTCATGAGCCAGGGCCTGGTGTCCCATCTCTCCTCAGCTGTCTTCATTCAGACAGAAACGCCATCTTCTGCTGGCTTTCATCCGAGACCACATCTGAAAGCTCTCTCTATATCTAGTTTGGAGACAGCTCTTGCACTCGGAAGAGAGAGTCCGTGTATGAAGAAAGTGGCCCGCACATCAAAAGCTCCTTTCTCTGAGCATGCGTACAGCAGGGGCGGCTGCCGTCTCTGGGATTCTCTGACCCGAGCAGCCCAGCTCCCACACACAGCTTCAGAGGACCCACATATTTATTTGTCCTCCCGTGGGGCCTTTTGTTTTTTGGGTCCGGTCGTGGGCCTGAACTCTGGGCCCAGGTGCTATCCCTCAGCTCTTCAGCTCAAGGCTAGTGCTAGTGCTCTACCACTTGAGCCACAATGCCACTTCCGGCTTTTTTTTGTCTGCTTATGTGGTGCTGAGGAATCGAACCCAGGACCTCAAGCATGCAAGGCAAGCGCTCTACCACTGAGCCACCTTCCCAGCCCCCTCCCGTGGGGCCTTTTATGGTGTCCCATCAGCCTGAGCCTGGGCTCCTCGCAAGCAACTCACTTCCCTGGCAGGGCCAGCCTGGAGAAGACAGGGCCCAGCTATCCCTGAGTAATTCCCAAGTTTGACACCAAGACCCCAGCGCTCACCCGAGGTGACATGGTCACTGCCCCTGCCACTCAGAGATCACGGAGCTGCCTTCAACTCCTGACACCTCACAAAACACACACACACACACACACACACACCCCAGGGCAGGAATTTTATCTCCAAGAAGCCAAGATTACTGCTGGCCTTGAAGATGAGGAAATAGCCAGAAATGAAAGGGAAGGAAGGGCAGAAGGTCAGTCCCCAGAAGGGACCTCAGCAGGTGCAGCAGCTGAAACCCATAATAAATGAGGGTCCTGTCAGAACAGGGCAGGAGGGACTAACATGTAAGTGCTGGCAATAACGCTAGACACTGTCCTGGGTGTATTAAAACAATGTGGATATTAATCTTTACACTCAAGCCACTCTGCATTTGAGGAACCTGAGGCTCAGAGGAGTTAATAACATTCTGAAGGAAGTGCAGCTAACAAAAGCGAAAACAACCCAAGCTGGGCAGGCGCGTTGATGGCTGGCACCTGTAATCCTAGCTGCTCAAGAGGCTGAGATCTGAGGATCGTGGATCAAGGCCAGCCTGGGCAGAAAAATCCAAGACACTCTATCTCCAATTAACTCGCAAAAAGCCACAAGTGGAGTGCCTACCTAGAGTGAAAAAGCTAAGGGGCTGTGGCTAGACCCTGAGTTCAAGCCGGAGGAGGAGGAGGAGGAGGAGGAGGAGGAGG